ACGATAGTACGACTAAGGCGATATGGAATGCAGCTACAAAAAACAATCTCTGTTATGGTTTTTAAAGATAACAACACACAAGCGCCGGATATCAGTCCCTATACTCAAATGTTTTCTACTGTTACACTGAATAACCCTTACAAGTTTGATCCCATAGTTCTGAAACACCCTGTAATATAAGTAAACACTTATCTTCATGTGCTACAAAATAATAAATAAGAACATGATATGAAGAGTTACCAAATATTCATAAATAAAATTTTTGATGATAAAGTGCTTTAGATCTCAGCGACCTATGATTTGTGAATATTGTTTTATTAGAATGGTCCTAAGCTGAGACGGAGGAAAATTTTCATCGTACTATCAAGTCTCCAAATCACACGAAGGATCTTCTTCGGCGCCGTTTAATAAAAACATCTATTTGCAAAATGTTCGCGAATTCCAGAATTGATGAAAAAATAATTTTGCACATCTAAAGATTTATGTTGCATCGATGTCGTTTAAGTAGGAAAACTGCCGTTCAGCAATAAGTTGAAGCAGACTGCATTGCTACCCAAGAAAATAATAACTTTGATCAAAAAGAAATCAAGACAGGGGAAAGATACTGTTATTACAAAAATCGTTACTAGCTATAGGTTAGGGTTTGAGGACAAATGACAGACATACCTACGTTATTGAACGAAGTCAAAATTTGTGAATAGGGTTCAATAAAAACATCTCAAGTCCGAAATTTTTCATGCTTGTAATGTCTCGTCATCCTCTAACGCGAAAAGTAAAAAAAGATTTTTCAAAATAAGACTTTCGTTATAAGATCCAAATAAGGTTTTTTTCATTGGTTTAGTCTGAAACCAACAGGCGAATTAAAGTTTTTGTTGTTTTGAACAGATTAGAAGTTAGAAAAATACTATGTTGTGCTACAATATTCCTCGCTTTCCATTAAATGGAGCTTACGAAAATTAGCTGTCCAGCCAGACCTGCTCTACAAGAAAAATAGACGCATCGTATTCTGCAGCGTCAATTTTAACATTGTTTATCTTTTTTGAAAATATTGGCAAAGACTTGGTTGCGAATACTTTGGAGAAGCTATTTTTGTAATTTGGCGGGACGTCAAACTACACCAGACCTCGTTGGTCAGCTAGAAGAATTCGTCGAAAATAACAAAATAATTTGCTTATATCAATAAATAAAAGCTATTTCTGTTGAAGAATCATCTACCAGACTCCAAAAATAGCGGCATCAGTTCAAAAAGGTATCTTAAAGAATATTTTCATAACAAAACTGATGCTGCGAGGATATTCCTGAGAGAGTGATCAGACTTTGCGACCTTGTTGAAGGAGCTTTTACAAAATATTCTGTTTGTAATCAGACGAAACAATATGTATGAGTGAAAACTAACGCAACTGCAATAGTTGAATAGAATTGAATTCCTAGACTAGAATAGATTCTCATTTACGTTCTGTCACTCCAGAGACTTTAGGGATTTGATGTTTCGTTTAAGAGGGAGTGCAGGTACCACGCAAAGGATAGGAACAACGCTAACTGGCATGATTGTACTGGTCCAATTAATGGTGCAATGCTTTTTTACCAGCTTCCTCTGATAATTATTAAGCGTCTCAATTTGCGCATTTCAAGGTTACCATCGTTTTTATTTTGGTAACCACCTGCTCCGACATTGAAATCGAAATAGAACATGTTTTTCTGCAATTGCCAATGAACTCAGTTAGTTATTCAGCCAGAAATATATGGTTCCATCTTTTTAAACAGAACAAATGGAAAATTGGTGAATTCTTAATAGAACGGAAAGAATAAAGTCGAGATTTTGCTAACTATGACTAGAGTATGTAAACGGTGTAGAGATATTACTCACCACACCTTCGTAGTCTTCTCAATTTAGTACATACCTGTAAACAAAAAAAAAACATGTTATTATCCAAATGGCGTTGACATAATATTTAATAGCGATTTTTACAAATCAAAACATAATAATTCAACTTACGCAAGAATCAGAACCATAACACAAGACGTTAATATTCTTTATACAGGTTGACGGGAAAATAGATGCGGAGCCGGTGGGGGGAAATAGTACAAGCCAGTCTGAGTCGATTTTACTATAGGAAATTAGCCGTTTTCGAATTATACTGATTTTTAAGATTTTATAAAATTAACGTCCTTTATACGTGAACCAAGTCATAAAACTTGAAAATTGGGTGTTTCATTTGATTTTTTTTGATTTACAATAAAAATATTCTAAAATACGAAAATTGATACTCAAATGTACATTATTGACATTATCTCATGCAGTAAGCTTCAAAATAGTTCGATTTTTGTTAAAAAAATCTTCGTTCATCTCAAAAGCTTCAGTTTACTAGAAAAAGTCGCAAACAAATTTTTCGTACAAAATAATTAGAAAACATAGTCTACGTTTCATTACCTTTCAAAAGAGGTATAAAAATCACAAATCAATTAAGAATTGGCAAAAATATGACTATTATAAGAGGAGGAAGGAAAAAGCAATAAAAATACTACACTTACAAAATCATACCTTAATACAGGATAATTTGTTTGAAACCACATTTTTTTATTTTTATAATGCATTTTCAATATGGCGCTCTCTATTTCTAATGCACACATGTGCTCTTCTTATGACAGCTAATTTTACTACCGCCGAATTCCTAAGAGAGGCTTGAATGAGGTCTTCTATTGTGGGTACAGGATTTTGATCAGAGTATACTAAAATTTTCATGCGACCCCACACAAAAAAGTCCATAGGTGTGAGATCGGGACTGTGTGCTGTCCATGGGATTGGTCCGCCTCTACTGATCCATCGATTCCGAAACTGCTCATTTAACCAATTTTTAACACTTAGTCTGAAATGTGCTGGGCATCCGTCATACCGTCTTCAAGTAATTCAAATAGAGCATTTCTTAAGAAATTTTCGTAGATGTCGGGTAAGAAATGTGGTCCTACCAAACAGTTATTTATAATGCCCATCCAGACATTCAGACAAAATCGCCTTTGAGATCCTTTTGATCTCTTCGGATGAGGATTTCCCACTGCACGTTCACGCAACAAATCGCAAGAGCAGATTGAAGTGAGGGAGGGAGGGGGGGTGACTAGTCTTACTTATCACACTATTTCGGTGGCAAAGTTCGATGTTCGCGGCTCTACCTGTTTCTTTTACTCATATCTTTGTAATTTCTAAACCGGTTTGTGATTTTGATACCTCATTTGAAAGGTAATGAAACGTAGATATTTTGAAATAGTTTTGCATGAAAAATTTGTAGGTGATTGTTTCTAGTAAATTGAGTTTTTGAGATGAGCGAAGATTTTTTTTAACAAAAATTGAACTATTTTGAAGGTTACTGCATGAGATAACGTCAATAATATACATTTGAGTATCAATTTTCCTATTTTAGAATATTTTTATTGTAAAACCCAAAAAAAAAAATCAAATGAAACACCCAATTTTCAAGTTTTATGACTTGGTTAACGTATAAAGGACGTTAATTTTATAAAATCTTAAAAATTAGTATAGTTCGATAACGGCTAATTTTCGGACAGTAGTTCCTATAGTAAAATCGACTCAGATTGGCTTGTACTATCTCACCCCACCGGCTCCGCATCTATTTTCCCGTCATCCTGTATATCATGATTTATTGAACCACTGTATTTATTATTCACTGTACGTGCAATACGTTAATGACATTCGTTCTGTATTCTTGGTTATAACACTTATAGTGTGTTAAGAAAAAGAAAACAGCTGGTAAAAATTGAACAAGAACGCTCCACAAATTAAGCAAGCCACGAATCGCTATTGTATTCGGGTTCTATAAAATTTCCAGGAACACTGGTACTTCAATAATATTTAGAGTGTGCATTTATATTTAAATCTTTAGATATTAATCATTCCACTGAATAAACAAAGCACCACAGTTGAGTTTCCTATTTTGCCATACGGTAGATCTTTGCGATCTCCAACATGTCCAAAGTACGTCAGACGCTCGCGGCTAAAATAAAGAGTCATATTATATTGTAGAAAAACAATATGATACAGATGAGCCTACAATATACAAACTAAGAGCCGTTTTACACAAAAGAGAATTACTTCGAAAATTATGGTCATAATAAAGCCGAAAATTTGCATGGAAAAAATATGAAGATTTTCTCTACAACCTGTATGACACAAGCAAACAAAATTTCCGAGTAATTCATATGATACGCCTGCGCATTAGGGTAATATTTTCGAATGGATATAACCTTAACGGGTATGACGTCCAATAAAATCGGAAAGACAACAGACGTCGTTGATTTAAATTTATTTTTGATATCGAGATCTTGGTTATTATAAAACTTCTCAATGCTTGGACTATCGCATCCAGCGCCTGACGCCGCAAATTTCTGTTTTTGTAATTGGGTGACTTCACCTTGTACAGGTTTGGCCATTTTTAGTACTCCTCCAACAACGGTGTAACTTCTTCCCGATTCCACGACATTATGAATAAACAATAACAATAAACGCTTCTTCGTACGACTCGAACAGGACCACACCCACAAATGTTAAGTGAGGTTATGTTGTTGACGTTGACATTTGATAATGACATGCACGGAAATAACCCTCTGCGCCGATTCTCGCGCATATTCTATAGAACGGGTTTTATATTTTTACCAAAAAAATGTTCATAAGAATTCTTTTAGGTGTAATACGACAGCAAAAATTGTCGGCATAATTATAACCATAATTTTCGTTGTAATTCTCTTGAGTGTAAAACGGCTCTTAGTCTGTACTTTTCATTTCATACAGTACATCAACACAACTTCGTGGCGTCATATATGGCAGAAACCTCAAATGTCAAAATAGCAATGCTTCTACAAGAACCAAAGTCAAGATTAACCAACAATTGTTACGATTATCCTGCAGGACCCTGATTGCTGATCAACCCAAGAGCTATTTTAGGCTCACGCGGAGCAGATATTTTCCAAAAATAAAGGAAACCACATACCTAAACGTCAGCAGCAGGCGCAGTTACCCGACTTTGGAGTACGAGCGGCTCTATGTTGCTTCTCACTTTTACCAAGATGGTTTAACTTATTTAAATAAAAATAATATGGTACACCAAATACTTCCAATTACACGTTTGTGAAAATGAGACCGATTTTTCTATTCCGCGATGATGTTGATGTCTGGACGCCAAAAAGATGACATGTCTTGTATTTGGAAGGTCATCAAGCCTGACTGCGATTAACATGATATTTAAGTCACCCATATCCGATTATGGAGAGCTCTTCTTTACAGTGCCGTACTAGCTCAACCGCCTTTCTATACTTGTCATAAGAAATATTATTTTTTGGCATTATCAGGACATATTCCATAGAGAAATAAATAAATTCTCGTAGGAAAATTGTTCTCTGCTGGGTATTTTCAACTTCAATATAGTATGGGTTTGGTGGATAGCATGTACCGCTATAATTGGTTCGCAAGCTTAAAGTTCAACAACTCGATTCAACTACTAACAGAACCTTTCTGCTAAATGTCCACCAAAAATGACAAAAATACAACCGTGAATATATGAGGTGTCGAAGTGATACAAATAGTCAACAACACGTTTAAGGTAAGGTCGTAACTGAGGTTTGAGCATTAAAACGATTTATATACGGAGGTATATACGGTCTGGGGGTACGCTGCTCCCAGCTACCGCAAGCGACTTGCTGCTCTAGAGGTGAAGCTACTCCGGATCGCCACCAGTGCACCATCCTACGTAAGAAACTCAACCTTGCGTAGAGACCTGCATTGGGACACCATTCACGAGTACATGAGGAAAAAAGCGGAGAAGACCTTCCAGAAAGTTCAGGACCACCCGAACGAGCAGCTACGACTCCTCATGGACTACGATCCGGACGAGAGGCTTCGCAACCGCAGAGCCAGGTACCCTAGACCAAGGTCCCAGTTGGCACCCGCTAACTGGAACCTTGACTAGGAGACTAGGAGAACCCTCGGTTGCTCCCCCCCCCACGGCGTGGAAGCAGAGGACGAGGAGGACCAGGACGACCACGACCAGATCCCATCAGGACCAGGAACCACCAGGACCAGGGCCCGTCAGGACCAGGTAGTAGAGGACTTGAAACTCTTGATTTTTCGAAAACAAGAGATTCAAGAGAACATAGCAAACCCTATATCGATGCTCGCTTAACGACACCGATAGAACTGTGTGAGGTAAAGGAAACCAACCCGGAGTTCCCAGAGACTGAAACACATGAGGAGACGTTGTAGCAGACCGCAGGTCACGCACAACACATGGCCTACCGAGACGCTGATGAGTCGGGCCACCCGGAGGTTAGGGTTCAGTGGGTATTAGGTTGTCTCCTCAAGACAACCGGGAGTCCCACACACGCCGTATCTCGGGCTATGGTATGGTGCATAAACGCATTCCCCCCTCACCAAAAAAAAAAAGCTTTCAACAATATTTTCGGATTGTCTTGACTTTTACTGAGTATTCTGCAGTCCATTCCTCCATTTTCATAATTATTGTGGCATGTCTTCATTGTCATATTCAACTAAACCAGCAATTTTTTTAACGTAGCTCTGCTACTGCAGATGCCATTTCTTGTATTCCTCAAGTTCATCAAGAATGACCGCGACCAGCTTAAGACTTACATTACTGGTATGCATGTTTTTATGAAGAACCATCTTCCACGAACAGGACAGTACTCGCCCGATTGCTCATTGTCGTAGAAGCAGAATTGAGAGTAGCGATGTTTTTAAATATGTTTGTACCTATGTTAAGGCTACGTACCCTTATAGCAAACAAGTACTTACTAAATTTGAAGTTGCATAAAAAGCTATGTGAAGCATTGGTCATATCTATACTAAATTATTGTAATATCGTATACTACACATGTTTTTAAATCAATTGTATACGTTTCATCTTTGGTTTACGTAAATTTGAGGGAAAAATTTTCACTTAATAATGATGTTCACTGTATAACTCTTATAGAAAGGACTATTAGAATACCCGAGCATACGTCTACACTTTTTAAACGCAGTTTTTGCTACAATGTTGCTATCGTTTATAATGACCTTCCTAAAGTGTATACAGAATTTTCGTTACCTGGACTTCGGTAAAAATTTAAAACAATATTACTCAACCCCCCCGCCAAACAGATAATTAAGATATACCTTCCCAACCCCCTACAACGCCCATCCCTAGATTTGTTACCTGTACTTTTTTTAAATGATCAGGATCCTCTGAGACTTCAAAAAAAGAAGTATGGGCGTTTTTTGTTTTCATTTTTGACCTTCTTCTCCATCGGGACTGGATTGATTTTCAAAGACTACACAACTTTTTCGTCCTTGGCATAGTAGTAACATTGTGTAAAAGTTACACCAAAATTCGAGCGGTACTTCTCTATTTATAGGCGGTTATATGATTACCGGACAGACAGACAGACCGACATAGAGGCAGAAATCAGTGACATGGTTTCCCGTAATGTAAAAAGTTATATAAAAACATCCAGAAAAGCATAATATCTCATTTTCGGAAATTTTCTCGGTTACAAACTTTATTCCATTTTTCTTTGCTCTCTTGTTACTTTGGCGATGAGGACTAGATTTGAAATAAGCTATTAATGATTGGAAATAATATTATATGGTAAACTACGGCCCTGTACGAGTAGGCCACGGTAAATGAAATTAAGAGTGCATGGAACGGGATTCCAACGAAAGTAAAAACGGCGAGACCGAGAGGCCGAGCCGCTATTTATTATTCTCCTTTTGTTTTCATTCAATAGTCTAAATGGGTAGGTGGGTCAGTAATACCACAACAAATTATCATCATTGCCAGCAGACAGGCAAACCCATTTGGCGGAAGAACGAAGATCATATCAGTTGTCCGGTTTTCACACAGTATTTTAATATTCTTAATAGCTGATGATCATGTGAGTTATTATGTGTATGAGAAACTAAAACCAAAAAGTACACGACGGTGAGGGGCGACGGATTGATAGACAGATGATACAACATTGATTGCAACTGACAAAGATCTATTAAGTTCTGTAAATAAAGTACAGACTACAATGAATTGGTTAAATAGACACAGAGGTGGAAATTAAAATTGAATGAAATGAAATCGATCCACGTCTGTTTTGCAAACCGAAGACCGACAAGTCCTCCTTGGTTAACAGTTAAATGCACCATCATACGTCAAACGAAAAATATTTAGGTATGACCCTTGACAACAGGGTAAGTGGAAGCACCGTAGAAAAAACCTCTGCTACAAGCAATGCTACAAGCAATGTTACTGGTTATTGGAAAAATCATTAAAACTAAATCATGATCTATAATCAGATATTAAAACCAGTGTTGCTCTATGGTTGTCCAATATGGGGCTGTTCTAAAAGTTCAAAAATCGAATTATTCAGATTCCAAAATAAGGTTCTGAGGAACATGGTAAATGCCTCTTGGTTTGTTTATAATAGGGACATTCTTCACGATTTGGATATCACTCTGGGTATCGAAGAGATCAAGGAAGTGGCAGCCAAGTACGAAGAAACGCTTCATCAACACCCCAATGCAGAAGCTTTTCAGCTTACTCAATGGTCAAAAAATTAAATAAATCCAACAGTGAATTTGTTTTAAGAATTGAGTTCTGCGGTATAATTTTGAGAATGTTTCACGGGATCTAGTGTTTCATACTTGAATGTGTAGCTGTTTTTGTATTTATATTTCAAATGAAATTTATTGTTGCAATTCCGACAGATAGATGTGAATTTCATTCATGGGATGGTATAACATTGTACCTGCTCCATTTAAAAAAATATATAAGTTTGTACTCATCAGCGACGAAGAGGTTGAGTGCAATGACTACCACGAAAGATCCAAGGAGAGCTTGACGACTACTAGCTCAAAAATCTTGGAAAGAAAACTTGTTTGAACAAGTCTTGATGTCCAGATTCATGGATAAAATCTGCAACTTCTATTTTGCATTCTTTCAGACATCAGATACTCAACATCCACGGCAGAAGTTACTGACTTCCTGTAATGCCGGCTATAGTTGTATAAATTTTCCAATAAAGTAATAATATCATAATATTATAAGTCTATCCGTATTAACGTTTCCTTTTCGACTACCTTTTGTACGCCGAATCCGGAGAATCTCTTGGAAGAAAGAGTCCAGCGGGGAGCATTGACTCGTCCCAACGACTCTAATAAATGCATCCTATTTCAGATATATCTTGGTGAAATCTTCCACTATGCTCATCACTTACAGCCTCACAGTTGGTGGTTTTTCTTTCCCCTCTAAAATTCCATCAATGGCAGGGTAATGTGTTCTGTGATATTGACTCCTGGTTCGAATAGATGCCATTGCTTCAGTCTTGATCCAAGAAGGTCTGCCTCTATCTACAAGTGAATATCTCTTATGAGGTTCAATCCTCTCTGACTTAGTATGTAGGTATGTGGGGCTCACTCAAACCTTCTGCCTCGAAATGTGGGTCGCGGAAAGTCCAAGACCTAAAGACTGCTTCCTCTTCTTGTTCACCTCCGGCAACATCCTTCCCAATTTCATAATTTTCAGGTGGTTTGAGAATTGGCAGATCATAAGTATGTGAAAAAGAATCCAGTGGAGGAGTTTTGGTTCTCTTCTCATATTTGGATTCGTTAACATTCCGGACTAGCTACTAATCGTAGCTTTAACAATTTGAAGTCTGCATTATCATAATTGACACTGAATGCAGTTACACAGGTACCAACCTAACTATATATTTCAGGTTCCTGATAAAAGACTAAAATACTGTATGTACGTTTACAAACGATAAGAAAAGTAAACAGTAAATAGAAATAGATGTGAATATATTGGAACGGAGCGATAACACTCCCATACGAGTAGCGTACGCAACCACTGAAACCGTCCCATGATTCAACTTGGGATTTTTATGGTTCGGTACAGCCATAGAGCAAACCTTCTTGGTTTAATAAGCACAACGCCCTACGAGCATGAACGAACATCTGACGACGCAGTGAGTCATGGTGCTCTCATCATTTGAATTGATGATGGGTTGCTCTGGATATACGGGGAAGACACGATAAGTTCAAGAAGCTACGGTGAAAGAGTGATTAAATAAGTATAGTTTTTATAGTTTAAATGCACGAAATCGAAATCAAATTCCTGGAAATCTACAAGTGCTTTCAGTAATGGAACTAACTACTTTGTTGTTGAACTCTAACCACGTTTAT